TTCCTTGCAGTGGTCAACCACAGAGAAGGTACCCATCCCTTATCTTCCTTACCCACCCAGGGCAGGTGGCCCTGGGGTGACACTGGGGACCACAGTGCCCTGCTCAAGAGCATCCTCCCATTGGCGTGGAAACACTGCTGCTCCCTGCACATCATCTGCTGGAGTTCAGGTCAAAGCCAGGGAGTCAGGGCAAGCAGATCGGAGCATGATGTTCCTCAGGAAGCCCAAACCCTTGCAGACCCTGTCATTTTAGGAGAGAAAAGTGGCTGACATGATCCCCCTTTGGGGCTCTGACTGTGGGGGACAGGGACAGGAATGGGGACATTGCTTTTGCTGAATCTCGCTGCTTCTTTTCATTTGTTTCCCCGATGCTACATCACATGGTGGGGTGGTGAGGGTTTGCTGAGCCTTTTGAGAAGCCAAAGCCTTGGCCTTGTGGACACAGAGGAAACCAAGGGAAACTGAGTGAGGGCCTGCTGATGTCCCTCCCTCCCCGGGCACCCTGCAGACGTGATCCAGCCTCCTTCCCACTTCAGACCACGAGTTGTTCTGGGTTGGGGTGTGCACCCCTCAGCACAGAGGGGTGAGTGGACTGATACCACAGCCCTGGCCTTCCAGCATGCCCCCAACTGGGTTCAGACACTGGGCTGGTGGGCTCCTGCCCTGCCATCAAGGCTGGCTCCTGGGGCACCAGATCCTCTGGCACCAGGCTCAAAGCTGATGTCTGGTTGTTTGGGCACCAACTGCCTGAGAGCTGGGCTAGAAACTCCCCATAGCACCTGTTGGACCCCACCATGGCCCATTTGGATGAGACCTAGTCCCATGGCGGTGGCAGCACGAAGGTCCCTTTGGTGGCCATGTACTTCATGCAGGGATTAAAAGCACCACAGCCAAGCCAAATTGGGGATGCTCCCATTGGGGAGTGGTGGAGGGTCACTCCCTGAGCAGCTGCCACTTATCCATGTGGCCATTTCCCACACACCCTGTTCTCCCTGCAACCCTTCTTGCCAACGTCTCTTCCATTGCAATGAGGATTGCCCATAAACCTCTTAACACGTGGTCCTGCTGCTGCTCAGCCACCAGAAACACTCTAGATAGCGATGGGGGCTCTGGATAGGGATGGAAGCTCTAGGTAGAGATGGAGGCTTCAGGTAGGGATGGAGGCTTTGGATAAGGATGAAGGCTCTGTATAGGGATGAAACCTCTAGGTAGGGATGGAGGCTTCAGGTAGGGATGGAAGTTCTAGAGTCTTTTTGTCTACTTCTTAAGGAGCAATCGGTCACTAGCAAACAGCCTTGCAGCCAGCTGGCAAGTATTTGCATACCTGAACCTGTTTCTGGGTCTTGTTTCTTAAGCAAGCCAGGTATCCCTTTTGCTCATGGTGCACGTTTGTCTGTCTGTCTCCCCCAGGGAATAACCACAACGTAGACAGTGTGATATACAGGTGGAACCCCAGGACAGGGTTGTTTGAAACCAACCAGACCATCCCTACCTCTGGAGCCTATGACTGGGAGTTTTTCACCATCGGGCCATATTCCTTCCTGGCTGTGGCTAACACGTTCAATGGCACATCCACCAAGATCTACTCGCACATCTACATCTGGCTCAGTGGCTCTTTCCAGCTCTTCCAGTCTATCCTGGTAAGGCTTGACCACTGATCAAACTCTACTCCTTGGTCCCCGCTCTGGGTTTAGACAAGCCAGGGAATAATTACAGACAGATGTTCTTCAGTTTCCTGGAAAGGTAATGATAGTTTCCCACTGATTCCCATAGGGATTGACAGAGCAAGGTTTATTTTTAACCTTGGAGGGTTTTAGGAGTGGGCGACTTCCCTCCTGCACCTTCAGCAGGTCCCCCCACATGCTGTAGCATCCTTGATTTGCAAAGGGTTGTCCACATCCAGCTTCTGAGGTGGCTTCCTTCCCCACAGACTTTTGGTGCTGCTGACTGGGAGGTGTTTCGTATCAGGGACAGAGTCTTCCTGGCTGTGGCAAACAGCCACAGCTATGAAAGCAGGATGCCAGCACCCTCTAACTTCTATGCCATCAACTCGTCCATCTATGAACTGAACATCACTGCCCAGATGTTTGTCAAATTCCAGGACATCCTCACCTACAGGTACCTGTGCAAAGAATCAGGGTGCTCCTCAGCCCCATGTCCTTCCCTTGAGCAACATGGAGGTGTTCTGGAGGGTCCATGTGGGCTTGCATGCTGCCAGGGACTGAGACTGGTGGGGAGGGCACTGGAGACAAGTCCTCACCACCAAACCCCAGTAGGAGCTAGGAGAAGGCCTCTGGGAACAAGAACGGATTCCCTCTCATGAACAGCCTGGGAAAAGCAAGTGTTTCTGTGTATCATCAGGGTGGCAAAGATTGGGGTGGAGTGGGCTCAGCCCCATGGACACAGAGCCCCTTCCTCACCTGCCCTTCTGCTTGCTTCATCCCCAGTGCCCTGGACTGGGAGTTCTTCTCAGTGGGAGATGACTCTTTTCTGGTGGTAGCAAATTCCTTCGATGGCTTCACCTTCTCCGTGAACAGTATTATCTACAGGTACTGCTGTGGGAGGAGGGCAGGGTTGGGTGGTTGGGTGGTTGTTCCCAGCAGAAATGACCCAGCTGGGAGCACAATGCGGGACAACCTCTGTGGATGCTGGTGCATCTGCCCAGGGAGCACAGAGAGAACTGCTCTCTGTTTCTGGAGAGGTTTCTGGGCAGGAACGAGAAGCCTCAGTGAGGGACATCCCACCCTGAACCACAGCGGGGAGCTGGGAGATGCCAACTCCATGGCTCAGCTTTCCTGCCCCCTTTCAGGTGCCCAGCTTGTGCCCCAAGAGCTAACTGCCCTCCCCGTGCAGGTGGCAAGGCTATGAAGGCTTTGTTGCGGCTCACCACCTCCCCACCGTCGGCTGTAGAGACTGGGAGGCGTTTCACACCGCCGAGGGCTCCTATCTCCTCTACTCCAGTGCCAAGGAGCCGCTTTCCAAGGTGCTCAAGCTGAAAACCACCTGAGGTGTGAGACACCCTCAGCTCATCGCCAGGATGGGCATGACCTGAGCATTGAGGTGAAGATGGACCAGAGAGCCCAGGAACAGCGACAGCATCAGCCCTGCAGCTGGGTAGCTGTGGCTCTGCAGGAGGAGGAGGAAGAGGAGAAGGAGGAGGAGGGGAGCTCCAGGGCTCCCTGCAGCCTTGTTGGGTGGCTGGCAAAGAGGCTGCAACCCTGCTTTGGTGCTGTTTCTCCTGGGGGAGCTCCAGAGCCACCTCTTACCAAGGGTAGCTGGCACCCACGCACTTCCCCGAGCTCACTGGGACTCCAGAGATCGGCAAACTCCAACTGAGAGGGACCTAGTGCTGCTCTTGGGTACATCCAGAGCTCGTGCAAAGCTAGAGGAGAGAGAGAGACTGAGCAGAGTGAGTGCTGACAGGGTGAGGAAGAAACAGCGTATCAGAAATTGGGGGAAAAAAGGCAGCTTCTGGCTTGGCTCTGGCTACTTTGAGGCTGCAGTGCTGCTGAGGACCCATCTGGTTCAACATTGCCTGCCACACTTTGTGGCCATCTTGGGTGGCCTTGCCACCCCATCCCACTGCTGCGAGGGCCTGCCCACCCTCCTGCTCCTCTGTGGCTGGCTTTGGTTGTCTTGGACGAGTGACATGTGTGTATTGTACAAGGCTGTAGACGTGTACAAGAACCGATGCTGGTCCTCGCACCCCTTTGGATGAGGGTAGCGACTTGGGAGAAAACCTGCAGTGTGCTGGGACTGATATGGCTACCATGGACATAGGAAAGACCCCAAACTGCTCCAGGTGACACTGTGGCCTCATTTATTTTCCCCGCTTATGTTTGGAGTAGTCTTGCTTAACTTGAGCTCTAATAAACTGTGTGCACCCAGCCTTCATCCCATGTGCAAGCTGCAGGCCCCTGAGCAGACCTGCCCACAGCAGAGGCTTCCCTCTGCTCAACAAGCCATGACAGGGCCATGTCTGTGGCCACAGGTGGCCTGCAAGGATGAGGTGGCCCTGAGCACAGTGGGGTGCTGGGGTGAGGGTCCCCATCTGCCTCCCCACACCTGGGACCCTCTGCCTCTCCCGCCTGGCCCAGAGCATTGCACAGCTGGCTCCGGGTTCCTCATTGGGGCTGGGCCACCCACCTGGTGCTGAGGAGCCCACAGGAGGTGACAGCCCGACCAAGAAGGGCTGGAGGGGTTGGGACAGGCTGGCCTCTTCTCGAGGCTGGCGTCAGGGCAGAGGAGGTGGGAGTTTAGCTCATACATTGAACTCAGGCTTGTCTGCTTTGGGAGTGATTGAATTAGGACAAGCACAACCCCCTCCAAGCACCACTGCCCACTCCAGATGCCCGGTTCCCAGCGCAGTGCAAACCCTGAAGGCTTCTCTGAAGGGGGTGAGGGGCTTTATTGAGAAATCCATGGTCTGGGAGATGACCCCAGGGTTCCTGGCGGTAGGTGGGGGCTACCAAGATGCCATGCAGGGCTGGGGTCAATGTCCTGTTCTCTGTGATCCATCCCTCAGCGCCCCAGGCTCTGGAGACCTCCTGGACCCACAAGAGCCCCCACCATCATCTGGGTACCCCCTCCTGGGACTTGTTTTCTCCAAACCATTTGGACCACAGCATGTGGCTGGGGCTGCCATCCCCGTGAGCCCAGCTCTGTTAAGGAAGAAGGGGTTTTGTTTGCTCCTCCCCAGGAGCCTGGGCTCCACAGACAGGGCTGTGAGAGGCACCCCTGGCATCCACCTCCCCCCCCGCCCCTGCCCCCAATCCCATTGTGTTCACTCATGCTCAGTCCTGCGTCGCTGGGGAGGGGCGAAGCCAGTGGCACTCATTCACAGGACTGGAGCAAGCACTGGAAAATCCCATCACACACTGGAAAATCCCATCACACACTGAAACGTTCCATCAGGCACTGGAAAATCCCACAGAGAAGCTTTGAAGACCACCAGGTTGCTTCCTACAAAGCAGCTGGGAACTGGATGCCCCAGTTCTGTGCTACAGGGCAGTGCTGGTGGTCTCTGTGTGACCCTGGGTGCTCGGCAGTGACTTCAGGTAATCCACATGCTTGCAGGTGTCCTCTCGGTTGTGCCGGACATAGCAGATCACATAGACGATGACCATGGCGAACCAGCCAAACATCGCGATGAACATGGCCACGTCCGTGGTCCTCTGACGTACACTGCAGAAGTTGACGCCGGCATCCAGGACCTGGAGCAGTGGCTTGCCCACGTACTCCTCCCGGGGGGCCGTGTGGCAGGTGATGTCCTGGACGGAGTCAGGGTCCAGCTGCGCCTCCCACAACACCTCCTGCAAGGCGCACTCGCAGTGCCAGGGGTTGTTGGCCAGCCGGAGCTTGGCATTGAGCGCCAGCAAGGCCTCCTTGGGGATGCTGCGGATGTGGTTGCTGGAGAGGTCGAGGGTCCGCAAGCCGGCAGCCACCCCTTTGAAAGCTGCCCGGTCGATCTTCTCGATGGCGTTCCTGGAGAGGTCAAGCTCCTGCAGGTGGGAGAGGTGCCTGAAGGCATTGCTGGGGATCCTGGTGATGCTGTTAGCATCCAGCTTGAGGAACACTGCATCTTTGGGGATGTCCTTGGGGATCTCCTCCAAGTGCTGGGAGCTGCAGAGGACGGCCTTGGCCCCTGCCCGCTCTGTGCACTGGCACCTGGGGGGGCAGGAGCTGCCCCAGGGGACGCACAAGAGGAGGCAGAAGGCGACGCTGGCTGCCGGTGTGGTCGTCAGGCTCATCTTGCACCCGGCCAGCTCGCCATGGCTGCTGGCGATTCCCTGGGGGCTGCAGCAGCTCCCAGGGGGTGGGGAGGCTCCTCTGTGCTCTGGTGAAGCCTTTCCCATCGTTAGAGGAAAGTGGTGGGTGGAGGGGATGTGACACGGCATTATTTCCTGGAACGCTGCTTTACATCTCATGTATGATGCGCCCCAGCAAAGCGGTGAGAGACCAGTCTCAGGAGCTTGGGAAACAAGGGCAGAATGATACTGCCTACCATCGTTTCCCAGAACAGCTTAATTTGGTTTAAAATTAATTATATGCTGCAGAGATTAAAAAAAAAACCACTCCTTCATCACCACTGCCCCCATCTCACCACAGAGCAGCCAGACAGGCAAAGGGTGCTGCAGGCCAGAGGTACTGAGATGGGCACGCCCCAGGACCCTCTGCCCCGGCCCCCTGTCTGTTTCCACGTGGGCTGCGGTGATTTGCTGCTGGAGAACAGCAGCAGCTCAATTCCCTCTCACCAACACGAGTGTTAAAAAAAAAATGATGAGTCAGACTCCCTGGATCATCTGGCTGCCTTAATCATCACCAGGTTTTTAAATAACAAGACTTGGAGTTTTTTCGCTTTACCCAGCTGGTCTGTGAGCTGGTCCAAGCCACGTTTCCAAGGGTTTTGCCAGAGCAGGGGTTTGGAAGTGACTTCAGTTTTTAACATAAACAACAAGTAGGAATTAATAGCCTGACTCCAGGAGCTGGAGCTTAAGAGAGGAGCCACTGACTGTTCCAGTACAGGGAGTGATCTGGGAACTGCAACAGCCACTACAGCCCTGCTGGGATGAGGCAGGTGAAGAACGTGGACCTGCTTGGTGCTCCACACACCTCTCCTGCTGACTTGGTCAGGCTGGGGGAGGGAGAGATCCCCATGGAGGAGAAAGCTGTGGAGGTGGGACCTCGGAAGGCACATGGACCCTTTCACCGGGGAATGAAATTATCTGTGGTGATTGCATTAGGAGACCAGCTGGGCACTGAGTCGTTATCCCCCTGATACCAGCATCCTTCTGATCATGGCATCCCCCTGGTAACAGCATCCCTCAAGCATGAGCATCCCTCAGGTACGAGCATCCTCAGGTACTGCTCGGTGGGGGGCGATGCTCACGCCTGGGGGCTGCTGCCCGTGGACCTGCCCAGGGCCGTGGGACAGCAGCAGACTCTTCTGGGGAGACCAACCC